CGCTGTTCAACTGACAGCGTTGTTTTCCCCCAAAAGTGGTCAATACAAATTCTGAAGTTTTTGCCAATCCGATCAGAAATTTAAGAAAACCGGAGATTTTTGGATCTTCAAAGAGCCCGATTCCAATGGCCAGACAGGCAAACAATTGCATTAAGCCATTAGAAATCGACGATCGGGCTCGATATATGGTTAAATATAGCAGTAGGCTATCGATTTTCATAGATGAGTAACATCTACGTCACTTTACGGCCCCGCCCACTTTTGGGGGAAACAACGCTGTCATTTGAATGGCGATCGAGCCTGAAGACATAGAGCTCTTCTTTTACTGTCCTTTCTTCTTAGAGGAAGTACAGAAACACTGAACTCTTGATTATTTTTAATGTTTGAGGTGCAATAAACGACACAGCAGCTTTTTGGCATGATAAAACTATTATGTTCCGCCTCGCTCATGAGAGTAACAGCTGGAGAAATTACAGCCTCGCCTACTGATTTTAATTTAACCATATATCAAGACCGATTGTCGATTTCCAAAGATTGAATGTAATTGTTTGCCTGACTGGCCATCGTAATCGAGCTCTTTGAAGATACAAAAATCCACGGTTTTCAAAAAAATTTGATCGGATTGGCAAAAACTTCAGAATTTGTATTGACCGCCATTCAAATGACAGCGTTGTTTTCCCCCAAAAGTGGGCAGGGCCGTAATTTTTGCCCGGAAGTGACGTAGATGTTACTCTCATCTATATGACATAATAACGTCACCTTTAAAGGTCCCATGTCATGCTTTTCTGGTTATTACCCGTCCCCTTGTGTGTTATGTAGCTTTTTCTGCATGTAAACGGTCTGCAAAGTCACAGACCCTCAAAGTACACCCTGTAGCGAGTAAAACTCTAACACAGAAACAGAAACACAGTCTATGCTGCCCCAGAACACCTCGTTAGAGATTTTTCTTTTCCCATTTTTTTCTTCCGGGATCCATGGAGCTCCTCACACACACACTCTTTCGGCGGCGAAACTGTGACGCGCTGGGGGGGGTGCTAGTGGAGCCTCGCAGGGGCGAAACTGTGGCGCGCTTACACTGTAGGTGCCCCGCGTTTGGGGGTGCTAGTGGAGCCTCGCAGATGGGGGTGCTGCAGCCCGCTCAACACCCCTCCTTCCCGCGTCCATGGTGCTCAGGCTGAGTTCAGGCTGAGTTTCGCAATGTCTCGCTGTCTCGCTGACCCCAAGCAGCAAACAGGAAACGACACCAGTAATACAGCTCACACTGTCCCCTCCTCACAGCAGCGAGCCACGCAACGTCCCGCCAACACGGCACCCAGACCCCACGCAGCATTCTCATCTGTTTGTCATTACTGGTGTCCTTTTCTGGTTGCTAACGCCATTGTAACACATAATCACTGATGTTCCGCTGTAACGGTAGTGGACTCATCAGAACAGAGTGGGCGAGCTGACCAATCAGAGCACAGTGGGCTCATAGGGAGGGGGGGGGGGGGGGGGGGGGGCAGGAGCTCCAACAAGCCGTTTAGGACAGAGAGTGAATACACATACTATACAGAGATGCTGTATGAGAAACCAATGTCATTTTGGCACATTGAACAATGTAAATCTATTCTAGTAAACCTCAACAATGGAATTATGATCAGTAGAAATGGCCATGACATGGGACCTTAAAGAGGATATGTTCTCAGCAATGTGTTTTTCTTTAGGTCAAATTTTGCCTGTGTTAATATGTCGATATCCCCCACCTATAGTTTATAGCCAACTGATGTTATAGTCCTTAAAAGATACATCCTTCATTTTGACGGAAAGACGGCTTTCTTGATTTTAGACATTGATATATATTTAAAGTGGATGGCTGAATTTTACATTTGAAACACCCATCTTTCTGATAAACCTTTAAAATGTAAGTTGTGAAGATAGCCCTTACCAATCTATTACCATTTGTACCCCTGCCAACCACGCAAAAGGGTCCAAAAAAGCCACATTCACAGCATTTCAATTATATAGATTTATTTTTTGGAACTTTTCGGCTACCGTAGTTTTCCTCTGCACCAGGAAGTAGAGAAACGAGCTAACTTTCAATTACACAAACGTGAAAACGGAGTAACAACAGTTATTTACGTAGCCTACATTATCCTCTAAAGTTTTACCGTTTTTCTGCTAAATAAAAATCATGAAAAACGCCATAACGCTAATTGACTGACCACCTTAATAACTATGTTGATGTTACGTTAGCATCACGCTAATCGCTAGTCTAAATTAAGTGCTTTGCTGTTGTGGAAGTTTATGATTTTAGTTTTGCACACATATTTATTACAGTGTTGAGCTTACTTGCTGTATTTATATTTATAATTTTAAATACAATAAAACTTAAGGCAAATCATACTTACGTGTGGCTGTGTCTTGTAGATGTTAATAGTTTTAGGACTTTGATTCTTGAATTGGAAACAGCACACAGTCCATTTAGTAGCCGAGCTGTCGATCATATGAGATATTCATACTAACTACTCCAGTTGTTCGTAAATGTGGCCTTTTTAGGCTAATAAACAATTAAATATATATTGTTGTAGGCCCACAGCAGTATCGCCACCATGTGGTCATTTATATACAACATAAAGCCTTAGGCCTCAACTTGATCCACAAAATGTAAATTATATTCACCCTGGATTTTGGAGTTCAAGACAGATGTTATAGCAAAAAAAGTTATCCTTTTTTTACTTTTCACTCACTCCTTTAACACATTTTAGCCATTATCACCATTTGGTAAAATTAAATGTTGTAATTCATACAAAAATTAAGACTTATCCAACAGTTGGCTACCAGGTTTTGCAGGGGAGATATTTTTGACAATATCTGTCAGAACCCTGTGACCAGTGTTGATTGAACACAATTACCACTTAAATTGATTTATAGATTTGATGTACAATACAAGGTTGTTATTCACTTTTTTTTTACCTTAAATAGATATAGTATACAACTGGGTGGTCATAAGTCTGACTCGGGGTTGGTTTTTGAGGGTCCAAGTCCAAGGCAAATCTAATGTCTGTCAGAGCAAGTTCAAGTTAAGTCAGAGGTCTTTAGGAAGTTACAAGTTTTCGAGTATTCCTTTTTTTCCTCAATAATGCTGTTCAAATAGCCAGAGACCATGGGCCTTAGGTTAATGGAATGCAAGCTAGGCAAAAATAAATACAGACCTATTTATAAGACCTCAAGGTCAACCACCAAAATAGTGATGTTTCCATGGTAACAATCTGTGACACCTGCTACAGCATGCCATCATCATGGTTGTCCGTCACAATGTCTAGACACAAACCCCTATTTACAACCAGATTTCAGGCATTGCTACTTTTATGACTCACTCATTGGTGGCTCTGCATTAGGCCTCTGCTATCTTCATCAGCTTCAGCTCATACAAAATAAGTAATCACGTTTTCTTCACACAAGGGCCTCTAAATAGGAATATTTGATGGGATATATTTTTCCTCTTATTGGAGGAGGTAAAAAGAAAAAAAAAAAGCATTTAAAAGCTCTATCGATTCAATCAGTATTTTCTATCCTGCTAGTTGAGCCTTTTCATTATCTTGCTCAGTCGGGTGTGTAATACCTGGCCTATCAGGAATTGCCTATTATTGCCCACAGCCGATTGAGGCCTAGGGATGTATATTAGATTTAAGAACATCCCTTTAAAGATTTTTCACCGTCTTGCTAATAATGTTTAATCCCGGAGAGCATGTATGAGTCTCCGAGGTGTTTGTAATGCTGCCTTTATCCACACAAGAACAATCAAAGAGGACGGCGGTGCACACATGCACCCCTCACACCGGCACCATGCCTCCTCTCCTGAGCAGCTCTCTCATCTCCAGAGGGAAGCTTTTAACATGAAGTTCATTACATCCCCTCTCGCTGCTCACCTCTCAATGCCACTCTTTGTCCAGCGTAATCTCGGGATCCTTCAGAACCGCTAGCTTAAGTTTCACATTGGGGAGTATCTCAATGAGTCTGGAAAGCATTTCAAAGGCGAGGGGCCGCTATATCATCCAAGCATGGTCCTCATGTCCTGAGCTTATCTTGACCCGGAGTCAAGTTGGCCACATGCTGCAACTGAATAGCCCCTCTCCATATCCCAATGTTGTTTTAACCAATTTGTCTGTTGGTAGAGAAACAGACACTGTGCTGTATAAAAGTGTGTGTTGCCGAGCATTTATCTAATAAATCTCCCAGACACCTAACAAAGAAGGATAAAGCAGCCCCATAAACTGAGATGATGTGGAAAGGAAACAAGTGTAACACACTATAAAAAGAAGCGTTTCAATCCTGACCACTTGGTTTCCATTTACAATAATCCAGGATAGGCTGTGGTGTGATAAAATCCTAACAACTTCCGTGCTCCCAAAGATAAGCCTGCTATGCACTTACAAGACGGGAAGTGATCTGGGATATCAGCCTTTCAAAGCAGGCCAGCAAAGCCAAGTGAGCTTCACTGATGTGCCGTCCGGTGGCTTTTAATCCCAACACAGCCCTCCATTCTTGTGAGGTTGACCATATTTCTTTTTTTAATTAAGACCCTACCTGTCCACATCAAAAGGTATCTCAGATTAGTCTTTTGATCTGCCTAAGCTCTTTATTACTGTATATGGAATATGTTAAGATTTCAGCCCAACAATGAATCATCTGTTTAGTGTAAATGCGTGCTGCCTGATGCTCATAACCTGGTCTGATCTCTGAGGCTGGCGCTGACATAAAACAAAGAGGCCGCCCGGATATACGAGCGGGTTCTTAGCAGTGCGTATCTAGAGCAAAAGATGATGCCGAGATAAGGAGGAAAAAGACAGGAAGCCAAGGAGGGAAGAGACAATTATTTGGCTCCGTTGCTGTATCGGAAACTTCAATGAAACATTGCATAGTGGACAGTTTTGTGCAATATATCCATGGTCAGAAAATCCATCCACTCTTCCATAAGGCCAATAATAAAATGATAACAAAAACAGGCAAAGGCTGTTAAATCTATTTGAATTTTTTTATTTTAACCCCCAAAAAAGAAAATAATCGGAACATGCAGTGAAAGATGGCAAATGCATTTCTTCTATTTAAAAAACATTAAATTGACAGCATAGCTACTACGTTAAGGTATGAAAAGCTGCACAATTTCCATTTCATTAGCAAATTGCTCAATTAGTCTAAATCAATTATATACAGTGCAAATGTTTGATACATTGACAAAAGAAAAGTATTAAGAGGCATCTGGAGGAAAGATTTTTTTTAATTTCTTTTCTGGCTTATCTTTCTGGTTTTAAGGCCGGATTCATGTTTTTTTAAAGCACACTGTGAGCTACTTTACAACCAAACACACATTAGCACATTAAACAATATCAAAACAATAATACAAAAAGGTTTTAGGACTTTTAAACAAAAATTGGAACGTGAAGAAAACTATGGTCTAATGCTACCCTGATTGGCTTGCAATGCAATTATACCTTATTGTCCTGTGAATTCAGTGAATCATTCAGCATTTGTCTCATTCCATTGATGCCACTTACATGAGCTACAGTTGTTAAAGGGAATATTTACCAAGCATAACACACATGAATCTCTGGGAAAACTGTCAGTGGTCAGGTAGCATTGTGGCTAATGTAGGCGCCAGATTTTAACAGGGAAGAAGAATGTGTGGAATAAAAAGACAATATCTCTTCTTACGTTCTTAAGGAAGTGATGTTATCACTGCATGGTTCTTGTCATAAAAAAAGTTAATACATAGACACATTAACAGCTGTAAAGTAAAATGAAACTAACATAAAAATCCTGACATGATGTACTGTTAGTACCTGTATCATGACACGTGTACAGTATATAAAGGTAAAAATAATGATATTGACACATTTCTGGTGTTTTGCTCTTGCTAAAAAAAACTTGCAGGAAAGGAAAACTCAAAGACACTTTTAAATAACAGCTTTCATATGAACACAGGGAGCCCTCTCAAAATTGGAAAACTTCAAGTGGAACAATTGCACAGCCCCTGATGACAGCTGTGCTTCGACAAAAAGGACAGGGCTCAAGAAAGATATCAGGTCACACGACAGCAAACAGTGACTTACAACCAAAATTGTTGGCTGACAACACAGTGGAATTTGCTCCTCTCCTCCATAACAGCATTTAACTCTCCTTGTTCCAACAAGAGTCTTTAAGGGCTGTTTCAACTTCAAAAGTGAATACATGTTAAAAAAAAAAATACTTTCATTTGAAAAAAGATAACAAATATTAGTACATTGAAACTCTATGGTCTACCATTTATTAAAAAAAGGCAAAGGCACAAATATCAACTTCTAATATAGGAGCAACATTCTGCTAAACTCAAAATTGAAATGGCTAAAATGTTTTTAACATTGCAGGTTTGTTTGAAAGAAAAAAAAAGCAATAAAACAAACAATAGATAAGGTGAAGATATGCATGATACAGGGGTAAATATAAAAGGCATACTATTGTTAATGTCTTTTATTCTGAAAAGCACAGTACTGTTTTGGTGCGTTCACAGTGATCCTCCCTCAGATGAACTCCCCTCGGAAAGGAAGTGACTGAATGTTCTGCTGTTGCCAGCGGCAGCGCAGCCTGGCCAGCGGCGTGTCCCTCGGGTTTTCAAACTCTGAGAAGCCCAGCTGGTTGAGGATGTCATAAACTCCGGCTCTGGCGGCCACCTACCACAGAAACACACAAAATGTTAATGAACGGGCAGCACAGCCAGCCAGGCTTTTTTATGTGTTAGTCATGACCACACAAACACTCTGACCACCACTTCTTCAGAGGTAAAGCATGTTATCTGATGGTTTCCAAGACGTGCAGCTGTTACAGTGGAACAAAAGGAAGCTACTGCGGGGTTTGGAAACAACAAGAAGGGGTAGAAGTATTGAGAGCCTTCAATTTAGTAAAAATATCAACACCATGTGAAAAAACAATGATATTGTGACCCAGTTTTATGTACAGGAGCTCTCCTCTGATTTTACACATCAATTTGAGCTACTGGTAACAAAAATTACTTCTTTACAAATGAATTTTTGTCTTCTGTGAGTTCGGAGCAAGCTTTCTAAAGACTCAAAAAAAATGCTAAGGTCATGGAGATCTCATCAAGGTTATCTCAGCTCAGGTTCAAGTAATCAGAACACTTGCATTACAAACTGGTTATGCCGAGGAGAAAGACTTTTACTAAGCAAAAGATGCTACTGAATTGCATCGGGGAAAATGTAGGATCTAGCATTTTGGGGGAAAAACTTATAACTGATCAGAAATCAGGAAATATCGCGCTCTGATGCTTCCAATTTGATTACATCAGTTGCTCACAATTCCCCAATGTTTTCCTTTATTAAAATACTATACATGTATTGGCAGCACCCAGGGAATGAAATTAGCACCCTCCACCATGCCAGGTTTTTAGGTCACATGATGCATTTTTACTGTCTGGTACCGCTGACTCAGTGTTGACAATTCTATGGTGGTTCTATGGTTTATCATTCATTTTTTTGATCAAAGATCTTTCACCCGTAAGGTGTTGGGGTGCTAATCTAGAAATTGCAACAGAGCACTTGAACAGTGGAATCACAGCTCTATTTAAGTTTAGTGGCAAAAAGTCGACCAACTAAAGCTCTTTTCCAATAAGAAATCTAAAGAAATGCATCTTATTTTACTTTCAGAAAAACAAGTAGGATAAAAAGAAAAAAAGGACAATTGCTATTTAGTATTTGCACATAGGTTACCCTGTGCTGCAATAAGCAGGAGCGATAACATTATCCCTCAGCAGTAGGGTACCAGAAATATTCTTCCATAGTTCATGTTAATTGTTTTATTGCAGATGCAAGCACGAAGAGTGTGTCATAGCATGTTGTTTGCACAATAAAATAATATGATTACAAAAGATACTTGTTTAGTAGTCCCACAATAGGGACATTTGCATCATTATGAGTTATTTAAGGAGCAGCTGTACACATGTTTTGTACATGCGTCATAGCGACCTTAAGAATCAACAATTTTTCTTTATGGTAGCAGCGGTGCAGTGAATGTACAAACAAAATTGAAGAATATTCATGAGAATATTCATGAGAACATCCATACAGTATGTACGAAGTTAAGTGTTTACCACTGAAATATAGGGAACTACGTGTACAAACTTAACACACTACCTGAATATTGTACTTGTGTGCCCACTTGGGAACAACACCATGGAAACTGTATATGTTATTCTGTTTGTCTTTGTTTCAGTCATCGCTGAATGAATGAGGAGAGAGTGGAAAACGGCAAGATGTCCCTCCAGAGAGAGAGAGAGAGAGAGAGAGTTCAGTGTTTGTGTTACGGAGCATGTCACACTGACTAATGCTCTGCTCAGGTTTTCAAACACCATAGGACTGATGGGAAGCACCACGGACAACCAGAAACATCTGGCCATAAAGCCAAACAATACAAACAAATAGAGGGGAAAAGTCTGGAACACTGACTTCCCAGCAAAAACTTTAAAGATTGAATACCCCATTAGAAGTGCCACAGCTTGCATAGTTTACTCTGGAGGACAGGACATCGAGAAATCCTGCTTGCCTGGTGTTTCCAGACAATACATTTGATAGAAGAGCATATGAAACACTTATAAGGTCAAATCCATCGATCTGTGTATTGACGTTCTCATCACAGCCCATTTAAAAAGGAAACAGCAGCTGTTGGCTGGTTTGTAAGAACCCAGAAGACATTCAGGGCATGACTCAGCGTAACGTGGCCTCAGACACATTGCCAATTTACCCTCCCTCTCTTCGTCTCAGGCTGACAAGAAGTCTGAAACATGTTGTGAGAAAATTCAGCGAGGGAAGGGATGTTTAAATAAGGGCATTATTGGTGGATGTTTAATTTTACACTAAAGGATCGTGGTTATGTTCATTTTAAAATGCACTTTCATGTCATGTTTAATGCTGAGAAGGACATAATGGAACAATGAACAGGAATAATAGTATCAAGATATCCCTTTCACTGACAATGATTATTGCTTAGCTGGCCAGCCTGGTGCAGAAATAAACACAAGGCACCGCAGAGTGCGCTCCAGATTGGCTACTTGCTGACAAGGCAAATTCAAAAAGTACAACAGATATCACGTAACAAGTTTAAAGCTGGCCTCAGTCCTGTCAGCGGTCTGTCTAAGATCAAATAATCATCCAGCTTTTATTTGGCGTCTTAGTTCAGCTTAATGAACACATAAACACATGCACTGATGTACCTTTCAGCACAACATGTTTGCTTTTGATGTTTTCCTGGATGGCTGCCAGCATGACTGCTGTACAGTACGACCACTCTCTGGGAACAACTATCAGCTGAACCATTCGTCAGTGAATGGGACTCCCACTAGGGCTGGAGCTATTAACCAGGATATTTAACCTAACTCATCTACTCCACAGCACAGCGGTCTCAAAAAGACATGAGACAAATGTGACATGGTGAAAACAGGATGTTGGGGAGGTCGAGATGGAGAGGGAAAGATATGACATGTAATCTCTCAGGAACAGAGCAGAGGGCGTTCACATATAAAAAGGAAGACTCCAGCATAAATCTTTCTTTTGTTTATTAAATACTGAAAAGAAAGTGACCCTGACATGCTTTTCTATGCCATCCATCTTTTTGATCAGTATATTTTAAACATAGATTATCCATCACAGTGGTAATACACCAATGCCATGACATGCTAATGCAACCTTGGAGTTCCGCCAAAATAAATAGTTTTCTTGTAAAACTATGACTCTTTACAATATACTGATCATCAAGATCTAAAGTGAGGACCATTATATGATTACACAACTAATTAATCCTTTAAACCTCAAAGTGACAACCGCTAAATACACACACTTAAACTTGTTGATGTAAAAGCGCTTTGAGGGGTCTCTATGACTGGAAAAGCGCTATAAAAATGCATTCCATTTATTATTTACTTACTGTTTACTTAATGCTTTGAGCTAACGCTAATGTCAGCATGCTAACATACAAACAGTGATACAAACATACTTATGTTTAGCAGGTATTATTATGAACTTTTCTCACTATTTAAGTGTAACACATTAGCATGCTAACATTTAGAAATTAACACTAAAAACAGAGTACCGGTATGATGCAGTGGCGAACCGCCAGGGCCTTCAAGGTATTCAGAGAATACCCTGGATAACTCAGATAAAACAAACAAAAAATAGATTTAATTATATAAATAAAATAAATAAATGAGAATCGTATCTGTGTTGTTGATCTGTAATATTACAGTGTTACGTTGATTTGTTTGTCTTTCTCGGTCCATGCACTACGCATTTCAGTGGTTTTGTGTTAGAAAATAAATGCAACCAATCAGATCTTGTTCTGGGTCTCTGGGTAGAATATCCTTCAACCAAGGTATTCTATATCCTTGATAGAATGCCCTGGCCCTTACATTGAATGAGAGCGTACGTTTGGATTGACAGTTTGATCAACCAATCATATATTGATTTGTAGCCAATGGGCATATTCTTTCAGAATTTCCCTTGGTTCCAGGGTACTCTAGAAGGCCCGTTAGTTCACTGGCTCGAGACAGAGGATCTAGATGAATGCCACGTAGCAATTCATTTGCTACGTGGTATTGTTTTTAACGTTGAAATGGCAAGTGCAACAGGTGAAGATGATGTTGTTGCGGAATTGTTGTCAGTACCCTTTTCAAGACAATTCAGTGAAAAGACAGACATTATAACGGTCGGTGGGGGGGGGGGGTGTGTGAATGTCTACAGAAGGTCCAGTTGTGATAGACACGGTTCGCCACTGGCATGATGTCAGAAACCCTCACCTGTACATTGTAACAGGAATTATTTGAATGTTTATTACTTAATTCTTTACGTTTACCTGTTTAAAATGTGTTAACCTTAATTCGTCTTCACTTTAGACTTGCTTAAATAAAATGAATAACATCACTGCCGGGGGCTTGTTCTTACCCAGGGTGCTGCTGCGGTGACAATATATGGTAAAGCCAGCAAATTGATATATCTGTACACAAATTAGAACAGATCAGATCTTTGATAGTAAATCGCAGGAGGCCTTGAAGTTATTTGTGTGCGGTGACAACATTTCTAGTTGGAGAGATGCCTTTCATGCTGAATTGAAGAGATCACAAACGCCAATACTCATTAGCTGCTGCAGCGGCTGGGGAGGCGCAGCGTAACGAGGGGGCGCTGGTCTTTCCCACAGTCGGCTATCTCAAAGGCAGCACATACCGGGCCTGTGCAGGGGGACAGGGAGGCCTCTGTGCCACACATCAAAACAGCTGGAGTGACTGATAGGGTACCTCTCCTGCAGGCATCCCTGGTATGCACTGTACACAAGTCTGGCCATTGTGTAAAAAGGGCCACGTTTTGGATTAGCAAACATGGATTTCAATTCCAATAGCTCCTCTGATGTTTCTTCTCTGATCTCACTACATGGCCACGAGGCAACGTGGGCTAATGACGCTAGGGACAATATTTACTTAATGTGCACACATGTGGCTTTAAGCATTTAATTCAAAGACGTATTGCTGCATGGTTTTGATCCTGCAGTAAAACAACACAACAGCCACTGTGGTCAAACAATCAGACTGAACAGACCAAACAGGTCAGAGGCTCTGTATCAGCTGGCACAGGCTGCTGCCCCGCATGACTGGGAACACTGTGCTCCTGCTTTTAGTCGCTGCAGAGATCAAATGAGTCCATGCACACACACATGCACACAGGACAGGATGCAGGACAGACTGTACCGCTCAGATCTGGCAGGTTGTGTAATCATGGCTTCAAATGCATCACCAGTGCTGGCGATGACCCCCCAACTGCCGCCCCTGGCGTCGCAGTGGGTCATTAATGATCCTGCCGCGGTCAATGGTGATAGGCTAATGATTGTGCCTTCGGGTTGCTAGGGTCAGATTGGTTGAGTCGCTGCCAGATTCAGCTGAAACCGGGCCACTGAACACATCACTGACTGTAGCATGTGGGTCACACTTTCTGGCACCATATTTATGTGTGGCTATTTCTTAAAGATGTTAGTGTTTGGAAGGGCATGTTCTTTACATTATTACATTTTTAAATCTTATTCAAATGATGCTGTAGCCCTACTTTAGTTTTCATTTTGAAAACATAGAGGGAATTATTTGTGATATTCACTTCAACATTATGCAGTGAAGAAAAAGGCTTATTTGAAACTAATGTACCAGCAGGTTTCTTGCCGTTCTGTTTTTATCCTTTTGGTTTAGTGCATTTTCTGTCGTTTTGGATAATAGCTTCAGCTAAATGTAATGTAATGTCTAAATGTGTTCCATCTCTCATGGGCACAGAAATCAATCAGAATACAGAGTACATTAAAATGACACCTAATGATGACCCTAAGCCAAAGACGGTAGTTGCCACAGCAACTGTCCCCCCCCCCCCCTCACAGAATCTGACAGGTTCAAGTTAATTGAAAAAACATGTTGGGTTAACTGTAGGACATTTTGCCTGTAGGAAGAAATTCAATTTATTTGAATGGTATGTTTGGGGAGATCTTTTGTGCTCAACACTTCGCTGTGTTCCCGGAGATGTGCTGTCAATCAAACAAGTGTCTCTGCAGTGACAGGTTTCACTGTACAGAATGTTTCTTTCCATTCAGTGAAAACCACTGCTGCTGCTGAAAATGAATATTAAGAATATATAATATACATGCCTGTAGATGACTTTCACAATATTTCACCAAATCAATACAGCTGAAGTCCACACTGATAAAAAGTCTACTACTATAATTACATACAGATTTATATAATTTTGGGCAGAGGCGGTGGTTTGTCTGCAGTGAAAGGAAACAAACCATGTCAACCTGTCACAGAGCTTGTTTGATTGACAGGAGATGTAGAAATGGACTTGAACTGGTCAGTTTCTGAGAGGGGAGACAGTCGCTGTGGCAACCACCGTCATTGGCTTAGAGTCAGAATAGGTGTCATTTTAAAGAGCTATTATTTCTGATTGGTTTCTGTTCCCATGAGAGACTCTTCCACAACAAAGATGTATCTGAAACAGAACATAGACATTTCAAAATCTATTGGTTTGAATTGTGTATTTAATGCACATGTTAGTTCCCCTTCCCTTTACATACAGAATCAAACATAACTCCCACACTATTCTCAAAACTAAAGAAAACCATAATTTAAAAGCAGCACTATTATGCATTATGCATTTTGAAGTCTTCCGTTTTCCTGTCGTGTGTTATAAAGGTTTTTGAGCATGTAAATGGTCTGCAAAGGCTAAATTCCAAAAGGTTCCCTAGTGAGGGAGTTTCTCTCTCACACACCAACAGCATACACACATTTTTTCAGCTTGTTCTACGGATGTTTTGTACCAAATTCGGAGACTATTTCTCAAAATGTGTCGGGAGGAGTAATGAAAACTGAAATATGGACAAAATTCAAAATGCTGTGATATCTATTTAGATACAAATGGATGTGTAAGCTAAGATTCATCTGCACAAACATAATATTTATAATTCCAAATTAACATAATGTAAAGTTTGATGTTAGAACGCAATTATAGTGAAATTGCTTGACAATCGACACTGTGTTTTCTTGTGTCCATACAAAGTGACAACATGTGAAGTAAATCGGATCAACACAACCCACAAACGTACAGATAGCTATATGCAGCTTAGCATCATCTCCAAACGCAGGGAGTTTTTTCTTCCTGTCTCAATAATATCCTCTTAACAACTAAAGAGCCGGAAGTGCTGACTGGAAGTGGCTGTCTCATAATTTCATGGACAGAACAAGAACAATTTAGCCCTGAAATACTCCGAGCACATCTCAACTATAATGGCTAGTAAATGGCCCTTCAGGGCTAATGGAGCGCTGGCTGCTAATGGCCTGAACCTTTCCCCTTCCTTCATGGCGTTGTGCAGTATGCACTGCTTTTATTGGCTTATTTTTTATTATGAGAGTGACATTTAAATACTATCTTGTAATGACAGTGTTTTCTGTTGCCTGCCCTACAGTAGAGCACCCTGTGTGCACGCTTGTATTTTCTCACTGCATAACTGGTCCATTAAGAGTCACTCTGGTGCACCGCATATATTTGCTATTCATAACAGGAAGAATATGCCCTGATTGACCGTGCATACTTCTGTGACAATTGTTTTCACAGCTATTGTTCCAGTCTATTTTGGAATTCCCATTTTTCTTTAGAGAGTTTATTCCACCTCAATAAGGACAAAGAAGGAAGAGATTTCCAATCAATGATTTTCAAATATTTGAGGCATTTGGCACCATATCTCCAGGCTGCCGGCTCCTCGCACATAACACGAGAACATTTGTGAACTAGAACTGCTTTTAGCAAAAGTTTTACCGACTCCAGTTTGTCATTTTGAGACGTCAAACATCCAAATGTCATCATTCAGCCTATAGAAAAAACACATTGCAAAGATGCTGCTATGATAAAGATATGAATAAAAGAAAACACATGTTAAAGAAATGTTGCTTAGCCTCAGGGCTAAGGCTTGCATAACAAAGGGACAGAAAAAAACTTTTAATTAAAACCAAATGCACACAAATATTAAACAAAACCAGATAATGGATATTATTCAATGACATTTAAAGTAAATCTGTTGAGCTGCAGTTTTATGTTATCAAACTCAATGTATTCTGTCAACCTGCCAAACTTCTACCACCATGTGAGTTTTAAATATTGCAACCAACAATTTAATTGCAGTGTGTGTTTGTGCGTGCGTGCGTGCGTGAGTGTTTGTGTGTGCTTTGGGTACCACTTACTGACTACTCATTTGTTTGGAATGCACATCAATTCTCCACTTTACTGTAGGGTTACAGCTGGCCAAGCGATTCATGTAAAAAAAACATAGAGCCTAGACATTGTGAAGTTCAGTGTGTGAAGAACCAGGCCACAATAGAACCAGAACCAGCTTGTAAATTCTTGCTGGGAGATCCATATGAAACTCTGGTAAACTGGTTCGTACTGGTACAAAATAATAATAAAGAAAAACGTGTTTGTCTTCCAATAGGTTATTAACACTTAGAGCTTTTGGGAATTAACGGTTTGTTCCTGTGACTATTTTAATGAAGCGGTGAATTATCATTAAGTCTTCAACGTGTTCAGCAGCAAAGGACAAGGTGTCAAATTAGTCCTGGAGGGCACCAGGAGCAGGGCTCCACATTATAAATGGCCCGCTGGCCCGGAAGCACTATTTAGACACCCCGGGCCAGCATAATGTACTTTCCTCTTGCCCACTCGGGCCACTAAAGATATTGCTTTAAAAAAAAAAAATGGTCCTGTAGTATTGGTATTTTGACTAGCAATTTAGTTGTTTTGTTCATTAATGCTACAACATAGCGTTTCGTGAGGCGGTTGTCGTTGTTGGGTGAAAAGCAAACAGCTGTTTGCTGCGGAGCGCAGCGCGAGCAGGCTCCGGTGAGCGGGAGCGCGCTCGTTCACTACAGACTTTCTCGCCACCTTACCATTCGCCAAAATGTTTTTAATACCAGCGGTAACTGGCCAAGCGTCGGGCAAAAAACAATATTCAAATAAAAGAATGTCACCGGAGGAGTTAAAGGAGAGCGACAGGGAGTATGAGAAGAAGAGGGAGAGAAAGTTTCAGCCACACTGGGTTGATCGATATGATGCCAATATAAACAAGGTCTTTTGTCGGCTCTGTACATCAATGCCGACCTATGCTGACAATTAAGTGAAGAGTAGAACAAATATAAAGGTATATTGGCTATAGGGAAATGTCCCAGAAGTTTAGGAGAATGACGTTTTTAATCTAGGCTATTACATAGCCATTACATTTCTAACTCCTAATGACAGGAAGGCAGAAAGCGCATTATACAAATAATAATATACTCATAATAATGATAATAGCAGAATTTTTTAACAATGACCACAATATAATTATGTTAATAAACCAAATATGAACAATTGAGCAAAAATGAGGAAGAACTGATGATTCAAATGTCGTAGTACAAGTAGTAATGTAGTTTGTGCACACATTACTATTGCAACAAATGTGTTAATGTTCTTCATTATTAGTCGATTTCTTTGGACGAATGCTCTTGGGCCAGTGGTTACAATGGTGGGGCCAGTGGAATTTTACCCTTAATGTCTACCCCTGAGGAGATATTTTTGCACCTCAATGAAACTCCTGATTTATTTAATACAGAAAGATCCAACGTGCACAGCTCTTTTTTCTTTCAAGGGCAATTACAGACACTCCAGCAGCAGCAATGTGACACTTCTATCTGATTGAATTGTAATTGCGGCACACGCTAATTCAATTTGTGGTTTAATAGAAGACACATTATTCATTTTATCTCCTGCTTAGTTGTCAATAATATTCCCAGTTATTTTGTCTGTATTATATCGACATATATGAACGTGTTTCACATAAAAAAAGGCTTATGTTTATAAAAATCAATGTGGGATGGAGTATAATAGAGAGTTAGGGCAGAGATCATGTACCTGTTCCATCCAGAGAGTGAATGAGCGCTGCCAGGAGTCTTTTTTCTCTAGATGCAGGTACGTGTTGAAGAGGATGAGGTAAATGTAGCGCTCCAGGTACTGCAGGCTCCTCAGCACCAGCTGCTGACACTCCTTCTCCGTCTTACCACTTTTGATCTGAGAAAAGAGGTAAAGAAAGTTCTTAAAGTACATCAATTTGACACAAGACAACACTTTCCTTCCCCCATATGGAAACAAAAGTCCTTAGGAAGAATAGCCAATGCTCATGCTAGTGCTAGTTCTAATGGGGATCATAATAAAGAATAAGAATAAGCTTCTGTGTTCTACATTTGTAATGTGTGAAGCATTAAAAGCTAGGCTTTCTCGCTGCTATGGACAATCTGCAATAAATGCACATTTTATGGACAATCTTGCACTAAAGATATTGATGTGACTGTTATTTTGTATATATTATTTAGTATATATTGATTGTTGTGTTTTTTATCTTAATGTGTAAATGTGTCTGTTGATTGTGTATATAGGATATACATATTTTATACATATTTGTATACATATCTGTATATTGTATAATTTTATATTCGGGATTGTTGGAAACGTCATTTCGATCTCTCTGTCTGTAAACACAAACTGAGTAAGATTGACATTAAAGTTGACTTTGGCTTTACTTAATGTCTATTACATGTGTTTGTGTTCAGTGTTAAGTGAAATAACAGAAAACATCTTGTCACCATTTAAAGAAGGTGATGAAGGGCGAGATGTGTTGCATTCAATTTAAGTGCGTTAATTCACAGGGGAAACGAAATAGTACACATTCCCATGTCACCCCTTTATGGATAAACAAACATCCGTTCAACAATATAACAGAAGGTAATGATACATTTAAAGCAGTATGGAGCAAATTAAGTAAGAATTAAATAAAATGCAACATTTACCTTTATATTATGGACAATAATCAATATATTTTGTGTATTATTCCTAGGTGAATCATACTGTGAGAGGAGGACATACGTGCTGAACTACATGGCCAATCAGATGTGTTTTCATCTTATATAACATCCTCATTCCTGCCCTGTGTTTCTCCTATATCCCTCAATGCCCACACCCCCTCCCCGCCTGCATGGACATTATTTCCGCTTGGCTCCAACATAACATTGTTTATCTTGGTCTGGCTGTGGCCGTCAGCTCCACCAACAGAGGGTCTGTGTCCTCTAAATTAAAGGCCCAGTAGCAAACAAAAAAATCAATACCAATTCACATTGCCACTCTCCAACCATGTTGAAAAGCATAATTATAAAAGCAACAGTCATTTTAAAAACAAAGCTCAGGGGTTATGAGTTTGTAATTAAATGTCAATCATGCCTGAATATGTAGACGTGGGACAGCCTTGCTAACACTTCTGAAAAGCTTTCAAAGTCGCCCGAGGCCAAACATCATTTCATCCTCTTTGCAAGTGTTACATCATTTCTTCAAAGGAGTGACAAGCTGTCATAGCTCATTGCTCAGCATGCTTCATTTATTTAACAAATGGATTCAAAGCTTGCATTTGATCGTGAGGATAAAAGCGGAGTTTTGTCGTTCCAAACATCCACTCCGATGGATTTTTTTGGTCAAATGAGTTAGCAAAAATGGATCTGTAAAAAGAATGTTAATTTGAAAATCACAACAAAGAACTCCAAACTTTTGAACATGTAATTATATTGGTTAGTTTTCTCAGGCTACTTGATGTCAATATGCATCTTAATTAATGTCTAGTTTTTCTATTGTATAGAGGAACCATGCATAAAGAGGATTTAGACTAGTAGTAAAATCTGTATTTTGAGAAAAGATATATCCTAAAAAGGGGAGGTTTAATGCAAAATTCACTTTATCCTGGATTTTCAACATAATTGTGTCCCTTGTGGACTCCAAACATGTCATAAAAAACTATTCTCTCTCTTTTCCTCTGCTCCATCCATCAGAGAACTTGTTTGGTAATAAACCATGAATTAACTTAAAGTGATTACTACCTTCCAACAGCGACATTTGTTGAAATCACCTTTTGAGATGAATTACATCCATCCTGCTCATTCATTCCTGTTCTTGTCTTGAACACGGTCTCTTATCATATTCATTCATCTCTTCTCTATTATCAGCTGAGTCGGAAAGCCATACACATTACATCATTACATATATCAGTTGTTTACTCCCTCTGTCTCCCAAAACCCTTTAACTATTTGTAATCCCTAAACACTATAGTTACACAGCTATTCTTATGATAATCACAAAATAATTGGAATTCATGGTAGCACCCTATAGTCAGAAACACTAGAAGAGTGTAATTATCCGTTGAGTTTATAATCCCGTTGATTATTATTCAAGACAGGATAATAGCACACTCACAGGACTAATTCACTGTATACAGAACAGGAGGGAAGGGAAAGCTCCTGTGCTTGTCAAACTTGTGAACAAAGTCATTAAAAAGTATTATGAAATGCTAGTCAACAAAAAATGTGTTCTGCAAACTAAAATGTAGCTCATGGAAAGTCGTGGTGAAGCAGCTCTGCCACGGCACTATACCGTGCCACTTCTCTAGGAGTATGGCTGGTAATTGGGGTTGCTCTTCAATTACCCACTGTGAGCAGCACCGATGAAAACTCAGACAGGCTTTCATCAATGTGGCGAGTCTTGTCAAGATGTTTTCCCTTTTTTATTTTTCCTCCTTTTTGTTCCGATTGCTTTAGAGCCTTGAGCAACTCCAGAAATTAAGTGAAAAGGCCTGCCATCCAGCTGTGTGGCCGAGTGTGGGGTTTGTGCAGGACTCAATAACATGTCAATCGGGGTTAAGGGAAAGTAACAAGCGGGGCTGAGGTGTAGTGTAGCTCAAAAAACTGTCAGCATTTATTCAGACACTTTCTCCCCAGCAGTGTGTTGTCTGCATCCTGATGAATGGCCTTGTTTTTGATGGATTAAACAGAATATCTGTTCACATATCAGGGAAGTATATTAAGGACACTGTGGGGGCTGCACAGAGAATAATGAGAGTTTACAAAGTAGGTGGGCTAGCACTCAGGGTAATTTGAAATGTGCACAGTGCTCCATAATACGATCATTCCTGAGCGGAATGACGCAACAGAGAGAGAGGGGGAATGAGTGGGGTTTCCTGTTCATTCCCAAACAGACGTGGTTGGAGCCCAGTTTTCCAAGCATCTGCAGCAGAGCGGAGGAGAAAATACACCTATGCAAACAAAGGATGTGCTGTCTGTTGTCTATCAACCCTCACAGGAAGGAGAAGAAGAAGAAAAAAGCTTATACTTTCTCTAATCTTTCTCAGTTTATATTGACTATAGTGGCAGAGCAGGTGAACACTGGTTAACCCGGTTACCCTGTGCGCCCTGCTACCCCAGGGGGCTTTCAGCATTTCATCCCCCAGCCTGGAAATACACAGTGCCATAGCCTGGCAGCTGTCAGCGCACATACTGAGCGCATAACACACAGTTCAGATCACTTTGAAACGATTACATAATTCACACCTCTACAATCTGCAGAACCATAATTCTGTGGCTGCCATCTGTCTGTATCAAGTGACTGCGCCATATGTGTGGTAGAGCAGCCTCTCGTTGTACTCTCAGAAATTCCTTCAAAAAGAAAAGACGTGGTGAAGAAACTGGGAATATTACTTTGATTCCATGTTAAAAGACTTGCCTTGAAAGCTTTGGATTTGCTTGGATTACATTTTTGAATCAACATACCATCTGATTTTATAGGCATAAACATTTTGTAATCTGTAAAGAGAAAATAAAAGTGGGAACTACAGCATCCTTGTCTGGCCTTTCGTAAAGAGGTGAGTGGTCATTCCTTGTGTGCTTTTAAAGGTGAAAGGCATTATTCAGCCGACCGCTAAGGTGTGATGATTAACGCCCCTCGGCTCCGAGTGAGATGAGAGTCTGGCCAAACACAAACCACATACCGCTGCTGAGAGTCCAGGAATGCTGGGTGTCTGAGCAGAGCTCAGAGCAAGGACAATGTGAAAGTGAGAGAAGTGGACAGTCAGACAGCTTTCTGTTAAAAGTAAAAATGCAATATTTCATATCTACCCTTTTAATGTTAAACTGGATCAAAGCTGGAAATGATTAGCTTAGCCATCAGACTGAAAGCAAGGGGAAACCGCTAACTGATCGGTTTAAGGGTTCAAATCTAAATACATAGTAGCATCTATAAAGTTAAATAATTAACATGTTACATCTAATTTGATGATGGGCACAAAAAACACACTATTAAATCAACAAGTTTCAATTCAACGGGTGGATATATGCTGGACTATTTCTTGGACAGCAGTGACCAAGAGTTGACAAAAAGATTTGACAAAAATATTTAAAGATGGGGTATGTAATTTTGGAGAAACCAGCTCGAGTGCGCTAGAATTTGAAAATACACAACCGCAACAAATCTGCCACTTCCTTACAGAGCCCCTCCAACACACACGAACGCGCACATGACCAATGAGGGCACGAGATGGAAGGCTCACAGGCAGGTAGGCCATCCAGTTATTTTAGCCGGGCCGGCTAAAATGATTGGGCCGGCTAAAATGATTGGTCGTGCTTTTTACAGCGCTACGGCTTCCACAGATTACGTTTTTTAATGTATTTATTGTCAAAGTATTTACTATATTCATTGCTATCGGGATGTTAAGAGCATTCCATGGAATATAACAAAAAGTGTTTCTGAAATAAATTACATACCCCACCTTTAACTAAAAATCCTAAAAATTACTAATAGGCACATTTTGTCACAAAACAGTCAGAGTTGTTTTACCCCTGCTGCCTGACATTGTGCTAAGCTAAGCTAATCGCCCTGTGGCTTTATATGGAGCGCACATATGTGTGTTTTGACTAAGATGTCAACCTATTCATTTAAATATTTATAGTTATATCCCTATACTTAAAATATACCTAATGATGTATTTAAGGTGTTACTGACTTTGTCTTATAGAGCAAAACTTTTCTTTTTGGTAAGTAAGTGAGAAAAAGGTCTGAGGTCAAAACTTCAAAATCAAAACTTCAGTTCTATCTAACATCTCTTTCCATAAAACAAAATAGTTTTTTGAATAGAAAAATCAATAGTATTTTGCAAAAGACCCTAAATTCACTCGATATCTGTTTGTCAGTTATGCAAAAAGT